TTCAAATGTTTTGGAATAAATATTAATATCATCCAAATAAACAATAACTCCTTTATATAATAGGCCATTAAAAACTTAATTCATAAGCCATTGGAAAGTAACCGGAGCATTAGTTAACCCAAATGGCATTACTGTAAATTTATAGGTTCCTTGTTTCACAATAAAAGCAGTTTTCTCCCTATCACTAGGGTCCATTTCAACTTGCCAGTATTCACTCACTAAATCAAGAGTGGTAAACCATTTTGCACCTTGCATTGCGCTTAACATATCATCTACACGAGGAATAGGATAAACGTCCTTTTTTGTGCGGACATTCACTTTCCTATAATCAATTCATAGTTGTTGTTTTCCATTCTTTTTATTCACAACAACTAATGGGGAAGCCCAAAGGCTAAAGAATTTTACAACTAGTCCTTTTTGTAGTAGTCGTTGGATTTCTTCTTCTATAAATTGTTCTTCAACTGGATTGGAACGGTAAAACCTTTGCTTTACAGGTTTCTCAATTCCAGTGTCAATTTTATGTTGAATTATATTTGTTCGTCTTAATTGACTAATATCAGTTGCAAACATATCTTGATTCTTCTCAAGTAACTGATTGAATTGTTCTTGTTGTTTAGTACTTAAAGTACCAACATTCAATTCAGTTTCAACTAATAAGTCTCTCATCATTACAAGGATCTCATCCAAAATATCTTTATCATTATCATTATTACTTTCAGATTCTGATTCTGAATTGCTTTCTTTATCTTCGGACTCAATAGAATCTAAATTATCACTTTCTGTATCATTTTTATTCCCTTCGGAAGAATTTATTTCCTCTTCGGAATATTCAATGCAGTCTTCAAAAGTTTCATCTTCATTGTCTTTTCAATTTCGGAAGATTCATTTTCATTCTGGTTATCACTTTCAATTTCTTTATTGGACGTTTCACTTTCCTCTTCACTAGTAGTTTCAGAAATTTCTGCTAAATTTCCTCGTATGCAGGAGGCAGGTAAAATCAAATGTTGATTTCTCCATTTTAAAGTTAACTCCTGACTTTGCCAATTATAATTTTCATTGGCTTTTAACAGCCATTATTTCCTAAAATGAGGGTATAGGTGGTTGCTTCAATTACCTCTACATCAACAGGAATAGTATATCTTGCGACAGTAACTGGGAAATCTCTAATAACTCCTAGAGGTCGAGTACCTTCTCCAAAAGCAAGTAGAATTACACTATTTGAAGGTTCATCTATGGAGTATCCTAATTGTTCCATTGTGTCTCGCGTAATTATGCTTACAGCAGCACCACTATT